AAAGGCAAAAAGAAATGAAACAGCCAATTTATGAGAGGCCTGTCATTATCTTCATTGATGAGTTTGATAGAATGCTTTCTTCTACACACACAGACATTTGTAATTCATGCCTTGCAAACTTTCGTGCCATTAAGAATAGTGCCACTTATGTCATCAAGTCCATTGTTGAAATTGGTACCTTTAGTATTCTAAATCTGAATCCAACTGATCGGACTTTATCACCCTTCAACATTAGTGATTCATTCAGCAATCCAAACTTCACTGAAGATCAAACAACAAACCTTTACAAGGAGTTTATGAATGATTATGAGCTAGAAATTGAAGAACAGGTTATTGAGGATATCCATAAACAAACAAATGGGTATGTGATAGGTCAGAACTTAATTTGTTTATTCCAAATTTTTCATTTTTTAAATAATCTTTTTTAAAACAGACATGCTGGTCTCATAAACCTCTGTGGACGAGCAATCCAAAAACTTATGGAAAAGCGCTTCCAGGATGGAGTAGATTTGGCAAATCAATTGGACTATGTAACTTGGAATCTCTTCAAAATCAAAACTTTGGGTGTAGAAATTTCTAAATACCATACATTTGACAGGATGATAAATATTCTCAAGATGCCTGGTGCTGAGAAGGCTATGAAGTTGCTTCGTATTTACTTCTTGGGATCACTAAATGCTGAAGTCATTAGAGACAATGAAAACTGCAAATTAGCTGAATTCCTAGTGGCTGAAGGTGTCTTAATGTGTGTTGGAAATATTGAGTCATCACAAAAATTTCAAATGTCCTCTCCTTTTGTGGATTCATTGATCCGACGACATGTTATTCCTGAATTGTACCCATCCATTCCAAAGAAATGTATGCCCACACGAAGAAATGGTACCATGGACACTCTAGATGTCTTATTAAATGCTATTCCTTTTTTTGAAAAAGACATTATTGGTTCTGCTTCTGCTCATTCATTCAAAAAAGCACTTGTACCTGTAAGAGGTTATAACAATGTAAATGTTCCTAGAGAAAATGTGTATCAAACAGAGTTGGATAGAATCTTGGTAAAGTGGCTTGGTACACAAAGAAACTTTGAGGTCACAGGGCAAT